GACGAGTTATCTTATTTCTAGGTCTTATAATAGGTCGGCATGGGAGATTTTCCAGGGTAGGAGTAGGTGGGCACTTCACACTTACCAGGTTTTGCCAGGTGAGGGAGGGAGAAGAGTCAAATCATGGACCTGGAAATCAGCCAGAATTGGGTCTGACTCCTCGCTCTATCACTTACAACTCATATGACTTTGCCCAGATTACCTAATTTCACCAAGACTCAGTTTCCTCATTTAGGAAATGAGGATAAAAATAATAATAAAAAAATAACAATGCCTACTTCATAAGGATCTTGTGAGAATTATTATGAAATAATGCATGTAAAATCGCGTTTTTTTTTTTCTTTCACAGTGACCGCCTGGCACAGAGTGAAGACCCAGCAATTTCATTAATTGGATTAATTGTATAATGTTATTTGCCTATGACTGTGTAAAAACAGAGCCATTAATCATAGGATATGTGGATTGAAAGACAGAATAGGACTCCCTATCAGCTAGACTTTGAGGCCTCCAGAGAGATGGCAGTATGCACCTTTTTGGCAAAGTTCTTTGTTTTTTAACCTCCCTCTTCCTGCCAAGATCTAGGGTGTTACGTGTGGCCTAAGTTGGGTCTTCCTAAGCACCTATTGGGTAACTCTGGGGGTGAGGTGAAATGGGGAGGAAGGGAAGGCAGAACAAGAGGAAAAGCTAAAGACCTCCTAAATTGAAGTGCTGGAGGAAGAAAAGGTACAGGGAAGGCAAAAGTAGAAAAAAAAAAAAAGAGGAGGAGTGGTCCAGGTGAACAAATGTCCACAGGTGAAGGTGTGGACAGAGCAGAAGTAATCCCCTCTTCCTGATATGTCTCACTATTGATACCCATTGGCTGACTTTGCAGACATTGTCATGTATGTCACTTCACATAATGTGCCATCAAAATCCACATAGCAGTTTCTGCTTTGGGTAAATATCCACGCAGGGCTCGCAGAGCCAGTTGACCTCAAGCCTTCTGAGAACTGCTGCAGGTCTTGGCCCCTGCAGGGAAAATGCCAATAATGCTGACTACCTTGGAGATCCCTACTTTTTGCATGCAAAAAGTTGTATCTCAAGTGGAACTTGGTATCAAGACCCTACCTTACCAAATAAAGTCTGTCAGTGAGGTGACCATCCACAGTGGGCCCCCCTTTGGAGATTTTTCACTTCCTCCCCCAACTGCTAAATTATTGACTGCTCAGACACACTGCTTGGTTGGACTTGAGAACTGGTGGAATGTTTGGGGATAGTGCTCTTGACACCTAACACACACTTAAAACCCTGAGATTTATCCCAAATGTCTCTCAATTCTGGCTCTTCTCTTGAATCCTCCAGTGTTCTCATGCTTTCCTGCCCACCTTCCCATCCCATTACACTAACTGCTGGTGCCCCCACCCCCTCCATCCCATGTTGGTCCACCACTTCAGTCTGACTACCTGAGAGTCCCCATGTGACAGATATTAAGTCCCCATTAAATTAAGATTGCTCATCACAACACATATGTCCAGTGAGCCATTTTTCGCAGGTTTCTGTTGTTAAAATGGCCAACAAATCTCTTCAAAGATGAAAGGAGCTGATAATGGTCTGACGAGTTATCTTATTTCTAGGTCTTATAATAGGTCGGCATGGGAGATTTTCCAGGGTAGGAGTAGGTGGGCACTTCACACTTACCAGGTTTTGCCAGGTGAGGGAGGGAGAGTAGTCAAATCATGGACCTGGAAATCAGCCAGAATTGGGTCTGACTCCTCGCTCTATCACTTACAACTCATATGACTTTGCCCAGATTACCTAATTTCACCAAGACTCAGTTTCCTCATTTAGGAAATGAGGATAAAAATAATAATAAAAAAATAACAATGCCTACTTCATAAGGATCTTGTGAGAATTATTATGAAATAATGCATGTAAAATCGCGTTTTTTTTTTTCTTTCACAGTGACCGCCTGGCCCAGCATGTGGATTGAAAGACAGAATAGGACTCCCTATCAGCTAGACTTTGAGGCCTCCAGAGAGATGGCAGTATGCACCTTTTTGGCAAAGTTCTTTGTTTTTTAACCTCCCTCTTCCTGCCAAGATCTAGGGTGTTACGTGTGGCCTAAGTTGGGTCTTCCTAAGCACCTATTGGGTAACTCTGGGGGTGAGGTGAAATGGGGAGGAAGGGAAGGCAGAACAAGAGGAAAAGCTAAAGACCTCCTAAATTGAAGTGCTGGAGGAAGAAAAGGTACAGGGAAGGGAAAAGTAGAAAAAAAAAAAAAGAGGAGGAGTAGAGGTTGTAGCCAGTGTGGCTATTTTAGCCCTTTTTCTAGGATAGGGGGGGGAAAAAAAAAGGGGTGGAGGTTTTAGCCAGTGTGGCTATTTTAGCCATTTCTCTAGGATAGGGAGTGGGTCGTTTTTTGGTGGTTTCTTCTCTTAGTAGCAGGATACATCTCCAGAGAAATTTTGAGCAGACTTCCAGCCAAGATAACCTGTATTTTTGAGGTTGCCTCTAGTCTCCAGGACAAGGAGATGTTTCCTGGATGATGATCAGGGTGCTCAGAGGTATTCCTAAATAGTCTTTTCTGTGGAAGTGGAAAGGGCAGGCATCCATCAGTCTGTGCTCCTAGAGTATAAGAAAGCCCTGAGTGATGATTACTCTAGAGTAAGTACTTGAGGCAGGAGATTTCTACAGAGTGTTTGGACATTTGCTCAATGGTCCAGGTGAACAAATGTCCACAGGTGAAGGTGTGGACAGAGCAGAAGTAATCCCCTCTTCCTGATATGTCTCACTATTGATACCCATTGGCTGACTTTGCAGACATTGTCATGTATGTCACTTCACATAATGTGCCATCAAAATCCACATAGCAGTTTCTGCTTTGGGTAAATATCCACGCAGGGCTCGCAGAGCCAGTTGACCTCAAGCCTTCTGAGAACTGCTGCAGGTCTTGGCCCCTGCAGGGAAAATGCCAATAATGCTGACTACCTTGGAGATCCCTACTTTTTGCATGCAAAAAGTTGTATCTCAAGTGGAACTTGGTATCAAGACCCTACCTTACCAAATAAAGTCTGTCAGTGAGGTGACCATCCACAGTGGAGCCATTCTGACTACTAGTGGGCTTGTGGAATGGAGATTCTGGAGGTCATTGTGTGATCTGAGTGGTAGCTGTCTTCATTATGGAGTGTTTAAGAGCTGCATTTCAAGAACTGGGTGAGTCACTAGTGCCCTCCTGCCAACCTCATGCAAGGTAAAGAGGAAAGGGAGTGATCATAGGCTTCCCCTCACTGAAGGTTAGCTTATTTTCCAACTAATAAGGGATATAGGGACCCTTTCGGAAGGACCTTAGGTTCCTTAGTGAGTTGGAATCATGACTTCAGATACTTCCTCTAGAACTGGCTGAGCAGTTTCAAGGAGGAAAACAATCACCACCATTGTCTCCCTCTGCCATGCCTCAGAATGATAAATTCCAGGGTCTGTGATCCACTGCCTGGTGGATACACACACCCCTGGTCAAGGGACCAAAGTACATCACTAATTCAAAAGGAGTTGAAGATAGTCTCTTGGGGTAGGAAAAGGCATCTCAGATAAGGTGAGCCATTAAGGGGCATCTACATGTTCTAATATTTTGCCACAGTCTAATCTGTCCAGCTGACAACTTCTTGGTGAGAACAGCAACTTAAAGAAGCATTTGTTGTGGGGATAGAAATGTTCCTTCATGGTGAGGTCCTTGGTTTCTTGATGGCTGTTTGATGAGGGTTGCTCATGGCTACTAGAGGGCACCTGCCACCCTTGCCATATGGTTATCCCCATCGTGGCAGTGTATTCCTTCAAGGCTGACAAGAGGGCATCTGCTGCAGTTTCAATTCTCTCTGATTTCTCTAAGCTCTGATACCCTTTTAAAAGGCTCATCTGGTTAGTTTAGGTTCACTCACACTCAAAGGGAGGGAATTTACAGGGCATGTATAGTAGGGGGTGAAAATCTTGTGGGCTTGTGGGCCACCTAAACAATCTATCTGTCACAGACTCTCTACACAAAGCATTTTGTCTATTCAATTTTTGTTTGTTTGTTTGTTTGTTTGTTTTTGTTCAAGGCCAGGTGCTTTCCACTAGCATTCCCCATTTTAGAAGGTGGCAAAGCTGTCAAGCAAAGTGTTCTGAATCCTTGAACCTGGATCAAGTTGTGGTTTAAAAATGTCAGTAACAGTGGAAGATAGACCTTTCCCCCTCATTCTTTCCCTTTTCCCCCTAGAACCCTTGTTCAGCTGTCACATGAGACAGTCTGAGGGAAAAAAAAAAAAAAAGGCAACTCAGGGTCTAAGCATCAGGTTGTTCTGGAGGAGCAGGCAGACATTTTCATAGTGACTTGATAATGGAACTTTATCTGTCTGCTGGGCCAGCCTTCCTTCTGACCATTATTGCATGGCTATTTGTGCTCCTTGGAAGTGGTTTGGAAAGCCTCTCATCATTTACTGGATAAAAACTTGTATTTGCTCTCTCCTTATTCAGCTTGTCATCTTTTTCATGGGCCTTCATGCAGGGGTTCTCTTGCTGAAACTGCATCTCGAATCGTCTCCATATGTTTAAAAACAGGGAACCACTTTCTCCACTGACTTATTTGCCACTGCAATACCCACCCACCTGTGTGTGCTCCAAATCCTTATGGGATGGAGAAACAGAGGAAAGGGATTACGACTTGACTATGCTCCATTAAGAGGTGATTTCTCCTCTCTTTCTCTCACTCTGGCCCTCTGGCAATAAAAAAAGGAGAAGAAAAGGGCCAAGGACAAATGTGGAACACCAAGGGCCCTGGTGTGCTACAACATCTCAATATCAGGTAGGGGAAAATGAATCAGGAAAGGAGATACAGAAGAACCAGCCAATGAGGTAGGAGGAAAATTAGGGGAGTATGGTGTTTCAAAAGACAAGTGATAAAAGTATTCAAAAAGGAGGGCGTGCTCAACTGTGTCAGATGCTGCTGGAAGGACAAGGTAACATATATTTAACGGGAGCAGTTTTCACTGAAGCAGTTCGGTTTGGAAGCCTGACTGGAGAGAGCTTAAGAGAACGGAAAGTGAGGCCATAAGGACAGTGAGTATAGATCTCTTTTGCATCCAAGGGATGCAAAGAAATGGGATGGTAACAAGAAGAGGATTTGAAATCAAGGGGGGGGGGTTTGGTGTGTTTTGTTACCGTTGCTGGTGAGTTTAGGAGAGAAGACAGTTTCACATGTCCCAATGGACTAGAAGACGGTGCTATTGTCTTCAGGACCTTTAGGATCCCACTGGGGAATAGCCAAGTGTGCTGGAAGGGATTTCAGTCTAAACTCAAGGATTAGGTTGAATGATTTGATTTAGGACAGGATGGGCTCTAGGGCTACAGATGTCAGGATATCCTCTTTGTTTTCCTTTTGTCTTTCGTATTTTTCTCTTTAGTAGTTTTATCCTTTTCTTCTACTGCTGGCAGTGATGGGTCAAAGGCAATGGTAACCCACCTGGTACTTCGGGTAACGGTCTCCTTTTTCCATGGGCTTCTTTAAAGCTCAGAGAGATTTTTCCCTAGTGTCTACAAAGTCTTCCTTAAAGGTGGGGATAGAGAGTGTTGTCATATTTGTTTGTTTAAATTTTTTTGCTATGGGGCACATGCACTCGCTGGAGAGAGACGGAGAGAGAGAGAAACAGGGAAATGAGAAATCACCCCTCAGGGGGATGGTCACACTGCAATCCCTTCTCCTCCATCTTCCTGTCGGAATTTTGGGCACACATATATGCTTGGCATGTTTCTCAGGACTCCAGGTCTCGGATTCAAACTATGGAGTTAGCTGTGTGGGATCCAGCGCCTTAACTATGACGTCACCTGCAGGCCCACCATGTTTATAAAGATGGCCTAGGAACTTAGCAGTGATATGAATTGCTTCTGTTCTCCCTCTGAATTTCTGAGGGGCTTCTGAATTTCCCTGCTTTAGGTAACAGACTCCTTTTTCCACTGGCTTCTTTAAAGCCCAGAGAGATTTTTCCCTAGTGTCTACAAAGTCTTCCTTAAAGGTGGGCATAGAGAGTGTTGTCATATTTGTTTGTTTAAATTTTTTGCTATGAGGCACATGCACTTGCTGGAGAGAGACGGAGAGAGAGAGAAACAGGGAAGTGAGAAATCACCCCTCAGGGGGATGGTCACACTGCAATCCTTGCTCCTTTCAGATCTCCAGATGCAGTCTGGATAAATAGTGGAGGCAGGAACGCCAAGGGGGAACCATCCTTCTTGGACGATATGTATATGTGCGAGCTCTCTTGGTGGTGTATGTGTGGTAAAAAAAGGGAGTGTGGCTTTTTGGCTCACTGAGGTTGAGCGACTTGAACAAAGTATAAATACCTTTCAGCTGGGAACATATATGTAGTTGAATGAGTTCATGGGTTTATTACTCATTGCAATTCCCATACACACTGTGGGGAACCATGGAGCATCTCAGTAAGTGGATCTGAAGCCATCTCGGCACCATGGCTTTTGGAACATTTTGCTCTCCAAGGCCTCAGTCACCCTGGCTATGTGAACTCTAAAGTTCCCCTTAGCCTTGGAGCCTGTGATAAACATTTCTATATGTATATATTTTTTCAAGACTTATTTATTTATTTCCATTTATTATTATTTTTTAATTTGACCAGAGAGAGAGAGAAAGGGAGAAAGCAAGCTGCCAGGTTCGGGACTCAAACTGTGGTCAGCCATACGGGAATCTAGTGCTCTTAACCACCACACCACCTGTCGGCCCACTTAATGTATATTTTTGTGTGTGAGTATATCTGTGACATAAAGTTCTGGCAGTGGTATTACTGAATCAAAGGTATGTGCATTTTAAATTTTGATAGATAAGTGCAAATTTCTCTTCAGAAAGTTAGAGCTATTTACCCTCCATAGTGTATGAGAGTCCCCTATTTTCTTCACTTTCTTCAGCAATGATATATTGCCAAAAGTAAAATTTTTTGACAACCCAATAGCTGAAAAAATTAATTTGAATTTTTAGAAATTTATTTATTTCATAAGCAAGAGACAGATGAGAGGAGAGAGACAGAGAAGCAGGCACTTCAGTAGGGTCTTCATGACACAGTCTACCCACAGCTCAGGGTCATGGGCATGTGCATACCTGGTGTATTCAGGGAGTTCTCTGGATGTGACCCTGGAACTTTTCCAAGTGGTCAGCCTTACGGAAATGTCGTGTTGCCACTAGGCCACTGTCCAGCCCCCTTAATCTGATATTTTGGTTTATTTTTTCCAGTTATGAGTCTTCCTCTCTCTTTTTATCACCAGAGGGTGCATGTACTCAGCAGAGAGAGAGAGAGAAAGAGAGAGAGACAGAGAGCACCCCCTCCATTGGGGCGTGGTCCTGCTATAATCACTTTTCTCCACTATTTCATCCTATCAGAATTCTGTACACATATACACAGATGCTCAGTGTGTTTTTCAAGTTGCCAGGGCAGGGATTCAAACTGCGATCAGTTATGTAGGATCCAGGTCACTACTCACAGTACTTAAACACTGTGTTATGGGGCCAGCCCCTGAGTCTCTCCTTATATGATTAGCTATTTGTATTTATTTTTGTATGACTTGCCTTTGAACCCTTTGCCCCCTTTTATACTAAGTTGTTGTCTTCTAATGATTTATGTGAACACTTGACAAATTTTAAAAATTGGCTCCTATATCTATCATATTTGTTGCAGGTATTGTTTCCCAGTTTGTCATTCTTTTGTTGACTCATTTTTTGACCAGAAATTTACATTTTTACATTGTCAAATGTCTCCTTCTTTTCCTATATGTCTCTGGATGTTTACTCAGACCATTTTGTCTCCCTGGACATACGTATTAATAGTAACAAGTCTCCAAAACTCATAGGCCTTATCACAAAGCAATAGATTAGGGTTTTTGCATTTGTCTTTTTAAAATTTATGTATTTATTGAGAGTGCATTTGCACGAGAGAGAACAGCTTCAACAGGGTCTCATCATGCTGTGATTCCCTTTCTTCAGCCTGTGAGCTAGCTCTTCAGGTCTTCGGTACTACACACACACACACACACACACACACACACACACACACGCACACACCTAGCATGTTTTATTTCCAGGTCAACCTCGGAATCTGAATTGGTGGTTGGTCCTGTGACTTCCAGCACTGCAGAGCACCAAGTCAGGACTCCTCCTCTTCTTTTTTTTGAGGGGGTGGGGTGGGAGTAGAACAGCTTTATTGAAATATAATTAGCATACTATAGATTTAATCTATTTAAAGCATATAATCCAGTGCTTTTTAAATCTATTGACAGATGTGTGCAGCCTTCACAACCAATTTTATAACATTTTCATGACCTCAAAAAAACCCTATGTATTTTTTAACTATAATCCTCAATAAACCCCATACCCTAGCTTTAAGCAAGAGATTCTCTGTATCTATGTATTTGCTTATTCTGCACATTACATATAAATGGAATCATTGTCTTTTTAAAGGGTGACTAATGCTCCCTAATGGCAATTCCATTTGTATATCTTTTCTGTTTTTTTTTTTTTAGAATTATTTTTCTTTAACTTTATGTATTTTATTTTAATTTGACCAGAGAGGGAGAGAGAGATAAAGTGAGAAAGCAAGCCACCGGGTCCAGGACTCAAACCATGGTCAACCATGTGGGAGTCCAGTGTCCTTAACCACCATGTTACCTGCTGGTCCCATCCATTTGTATATCTTTTCTTGAATAAGAATCTAGAGCTGAAGAACAGGAGACAAGGTGAAATTATCGCATTATGCCCTGGACATCAAATGATAATCTTCTGCCTTTTCATTCTGTATTTTATTTTAGTGTTCTTACCATGGCTGAACTACTAAGTGAAGTTTCTGACTGCCTGGAAGTTCTGGAGGCCATTGATGAGGGTAAGTAATCCAATAAAACCTTGATAACTAGAACTAGATTTGTTTACTGTGATTACCCCTGCAAAATAGAACCAAGTCATGAGGAAACAAGTTCATACCAAATCTCTACTAATATTAGACTCAGTTCACATTTGCTTTTCCATTTATCTAACCTCTTTTCTGCCATCTCCATCTCTGGAGATGTATAGTCAAAAGGTTTCTCTGAGACAGCACAATTTTATTTAAAAATGGTTACCAGGTTCTTACTTACTAAGCTAGGGAAAACATTTCTACTTAATAAACAAAACAAAACAAAACAAAACAAACCAGTGAGGACAAACCGTAATTTAACAGATTCAGCTGATGTTTTACTGTAGATAGTAATCCAGATTTAACCAATAGATGAATTGTAATTGCAGAGTAAAAGAGGGGGCAGAAACAAAACACACCACCACAAGCTGTTAAATAGGATTAAATTTACAAAAATGCTCTTTTACAAAACTTACTCAGATGTGTATTCATTGCCAAAATTGTGGTGCCATCTATGAGTTATGGGAGGCAAAAGTCACTCAACAATGATAAGCTTTATACACAAACAAGAGTGTGTTCACACACACAAATATGCATGTGTGTGCACACATACAAACACACACACTTAAAAGGAACCATAAGACACAAAGTAAGACACTGAGTTTAAAGACAGAACAGAATTAAACAGTTAATGAGTTATTCAGTTTGTTTGTTTTGCCGAGGCAGGGGTGGGGGGACAGGAGCTGGGTTTTCTTTAGCAGTGTATGATGCAGAAGACTTGGTCTAGAAGGACAGAAAAAGTGAAACTTCCTTGTGGTTTCCTGGAGGCCTGACTTCACTGATGATGTAGGGAAGAGGATGCTGAGCCTGGTCATGGATTCTTGAGGGCAGAACTTAGGGTTTCTTCATCTCTGTGTTACCACTGATGAGTACCAGGTCTCAGACAGAGTGATTGGGCAACTCTAAAACATTGAGTTAATGAATGAGTGGCCTCCTTGCCAAGGCAGACCCAATTACCAAACCAATTGATTTATCTTTCTGAATACGAGCTAAACAGATGTCTTACAAAAGAAGGTGGTGATGTGGTGCATCTTGAAGAATGGAGGTAAGGTAATGTGTTTTCTCTGTTCTCAAGTGTTTTAAAAGATCGAATATTTGGGGACCAGAAGATGGTGTAATGATTACCTTGCTGGACTCTCACATAGTCGACCACAGTTTGAGTCTCGGACCTGGCTGCTTAAAACTCATGCCAGGTTCATGTGCATGCATGCCCAAGATCCTGGGAGGAGAACGGAGGAGAAGGGATTACAGTGTGGCTATCTTCCCAGGGGTTGATTTCTCGCTTTCTCTCTCTCTCTCTCTATGGCAAGTACATGTGCCCTATAGCAAAAACAAAACAAAACAAAAAAATCTCTTAAAAAAAAAAAGACCGAATATTTGGGTACATTTTTAAAACTATTTAGCATTGGCCAGAGAATAAGGTAGATGTTGGGAGGTTTAAAGGGAAGAGAGGTTAGTTAGAAATGTTTTATTTTCAAGCAGCAATGCAAGAGAACAAGGTCATCATTATGTAATGCATTTTTAAAGCTCATTAAGGTCAACCCAGGTGGGCTGCCTGTGGGCATGATGAATTAAAAAAATATACAACCCAGAGTGAGCAATTTTGTTTTCATTTGATTTTGCTCTGTTTCCCTCTGGGGGGGAAGGGTTAAAAAAAAAAAAACTGCCTTCAATGGTCTATTTTCTGACATGTGACACAGTGAAGACACTCATTGGATGAGGACATTGAAAGTTGCTTGCTATTTGGAAATGCATAGCCCTTGGACTTGGACGGGAAAATCAATGGCTTTGTTATAAAAGTCCAGAGAGCTGTCAGTTCTCAGAATTAGCTCACTAAAGCATTGTACCCGTGGCAGTGTAAGCTACCCAGTTACCCAGTATATGGTTAACCCATATAAACACTGTTGGTTACAAGTGTGGGCAACCAATATAAACGTGGCTGGCTGCAAGTGTGGGTTTTGACCCATTATGTCTATCTTCCTTTTGTACTTTTAGTAGCTTTGAAAACCAGCCTGTGCAGGACTCAGCTGCTGGCAATTTAGCCACCCCTTTAAAAAAAGAAACCTTGAAAGGCCGATTTGTGTGCTTGAATATATGGCAGCCATCTTGGGTTTCATTAGCGTTTTGAAGGTAACATAGCATGTGAACAGTATCTGACCTTTTCTCTCACTCCCAGGACTGAGACCAAGGCTGAGCTCTATATATGTGAGTCTGATACATTGCAGGTAGGGAGATCTCCCAATCAAAAGCTGGCTGAAGACTTAGACTTTTGTCACTAACATTGGCTGGCAATGAGTGGCTCACTAAGGCCGCATTTAGCTTCCAAGTCACTGCTTTAGATCAAGGAGCAGTGAGCTTGCCATGTTTGGTGGTCACCATCTCTTGGTGCCTCCCCAACTCCTTGCTAACAAAACTATACCACTTCCATACTCAGAGCTATCCCACAGGATAGAATGGGAAACATTCTTTTCCTTCTAGTGCCCATGGCTAAGACACACATACTGCTTAAGGTACTTTGAATACCTATGGGACAATAAGTTGTTATTTTTGTCCAGTAAAGAATGGAAAGTTGGAAATAGATGCATGCTTAATTTTTGGCATTTATTATAGTTCTAAAGTCACTAGTCATTTTGTTAATTTAGGAACATAAAATATTAATGTATACTTTTGACTGCTCATGAAATGGTTATGTTTAGTAAATTCAGTTTTACAGTCTGAAGAGTTCATTGGAAGGAAATTTAAAAAAAAAAAAAAAAAGAGGGCTGAGACCAGCAGATGGTGTAATGGTTATGTCGCTGGACTCCCACACAGGACTACAGTTCAAATCCCATACCCAGCAACTTAAAATTCATGCCAGGCACGTGAACATGCGTGCCCAAAATCCAGAGAGGAGCATGAAGGAGAAGGGATTGTGGCGTGTCCATCTTCCCTGGGGGATGATTTCTTGCTTGCTGGTTCTCTGTCTCTCTGGTGAGTGCACGCACCCTATGGCAAAAAAATCTCTCTTAAAAAAAAAAAAAGACAGAGGGCATGCATGCTTACCAAAGAGAGAGAGAGAGAGAGAGAGAGAGGAAGGGAGGGAGAGAGACAAAGTGAGAGAGAACATACCCTCCAGACCCTTGAGCTTTGCCTTCCTCTTTTTCCATTTTGGCATTTTGCAGTAAGAAGAGTGACAATCACTATGTTTATAAACCCTCTGAGATAAAGTTGTTCCCCCTTCAGAAGGTCATAAGGAGATTCACCTGTTAAGAATCAATAAATCTTGCTCCCTTTGTTGGGAAAATGGTGATGCCTCCAAAGGCTAAAATACCGCATGCTCCTTCCTGTTTGTGAGAGGACTCTGCCTAATTTGTTCTCCCTGGGTGTGAGTTTAGTGGAGTGTTGAGGCTGCTCATGTCAGCTTGGGGGACTTGTTATGCACATCTCTTCCCAAAGGTCATGTTGGTAGCTTCAAATTGGCCATGATGAGGGCATTTACATCACAGAAACAGGGAAATCCTCTTGTGCCCATACTCAGGGCATTTCTCCCAAATAGGCAGTTGTTAAACATTTTCCAGCACAAAACTGAACATTTTAATCAGTAATTTTTATAAAAGCATCACCATTTTATAGTTTTGAGAGAAATCATCGGGGGGGGGGGGGGGGGAAGAGATTATGAGGAGAAGATTATGAGAGAAGGTCAAAGAGCAAAGTAGAGATGATTTTAGAGCCAACCTACTCTGTGCTGTATACTCTCAGGACTTTCACACTGAATCTTCAGAGTACTGTGAGGTCAACCATCACTTTAAATATTTTGTTTTTCTAGGAATTAGCTTAATTATTTTCTGAAAAATTAAAGAAAGGAACTTGGGAGAAAAATATACTTCTTATTGTATTTTTATTTTTTTATTCTTTCTATCTATAGGTAGATTGCCAAGTTTTCCCAACCATGACCCTATGTAGGTGCATCCTTGTAGATAAGAAATTGCCCAAGTTATTCAAAACAGAAATTGCTCAGACAGCAATCATCAGGCAAATAGTCCTCCCTATTTTTATTGCCTCATCTCAGGTCGACTTCTGCTTATTTTAGAGTTCATTTCTGATGTATAGATATGGGGATGCCTCTCATGAATACTTATAGAATTGAATCTTGCCCTAATAAATGAGTGATTACTGAATCCCTAAATACCACCTCACATTTTGTTGAACATTTACTACATTGCCAAACCCTATGCTAAGTTCTTTATCTATGTTATTTACAATGTACACCTATCCCTATAAAGGCCAGTGTTTAAATTACAGGATGCATAAAGGTGACGCTGCTCAGTAGACTCATTCAAGGGGAGTGACAAACTGTGTTGATATTCTGTGCCCCTCAGTGGACTCAGTTGTCTCTCAAGTGTTACTGCTTGCCTTTCACTGTGCTTGTTGCTAAGGGGGATGCTAAAGGGGGCCTGCCCACAGCCTTAACATCATGGGACATTATATCTGATTACTTTCTCATTGATACCCAGATCATAGTAAGTGTTTGACCTTAATAAATATTTATTGAATAGATTTTAAAAAATGAATGAATGAGGAGACTAGAGAGAATTCAGATGTAAAGCTTATGGTGCTAAGAGTCAAGTTTTAGGTATTCAGAGAAAAGGGAGAAGGGCAAATTGTACTGATTGATGGAAAACCAGATTTTAGGCAGGCCTTGAAGTTTAGGAACATTTCTAATAGACGGGCCCAGGAGTAGTATCAGTATACAAATAAGTCATAGCATTTCGAAGCTACAGGGAAGCCTAGCTGAGCATTTCCCAAAGTGTGTTTTGCCAGACATTCTGCTTACATGCATTTGGGAGACAGTATTGTTGCCTAGTTTCTTGGAGCTTCACCATATACATAAGCATTCTGAAGTTTCAGAAAAGTCTTGTTGGAAAGCAAACCACAGAAGTTTTGTCTAATCCAGTGTTTCCCAGATTAACAGTACTGCAGGTCCCTTTTACATGCAACAACCCATGAGCATCTTCCTGAATGCACTGTGGAAAATGCTAATCAAGGGCAATTCTCTCCTTTTCCTGCTACTGAGTCCCAGAGAAGTCAAATGATTTAGCGATGGTCACAGAGCTAACTGATAGCAGATCCAAGCCTAGGATTCCAGACCTTTCTGACTCTTGAGTGGTATTTTTCAGTATACCACCAAGCCTTTCAAAATGGCTGCTGCATTGGCAAATCCCTTGGCTGGGCCCAGCACCACCAGTGCAATATTTCTATGCTGACAAAGGCCCTCAAGAAAGCAGCCTGTTGAGAATTGGAGTTGCAATACTGATATCAGACAAAATAGACTTTAAGCCAAAAGATAGAAGAAGAAAGAAGGACATTATATAGTACTAAAAAGACCCATTCGCCAAGAAGATATAACACATTGTTTTTTGAGAGACTTTTGCTATAGGGCGTGTGCACTAGCCAGAAAGACAGAGAGAGACAGAAAGTGAGAAATCCCCCCCCGGGGCCATGTGGGGATGGTCATATCACAATCCCTTCTCCTCCATTCTCCTCTCGGGATCTCGGGCATGCACGCACATGCGCCCAGCATGAGTTTAAGCCACCGGGTCTGGGACTCAAACCATGGTCAACTACATGACAGTCCAGCAAAATAGTCATTATGCCAAATGCTGGTCCCAGATATAACACTTTTAAATATCTGTGCACCCAATGGTGGAGCACTCAAATACATGAAAGAGAGAATGTTGGATCTCAAGGGAGAGATAGACTGCAACACAGTAATTGTTGGGGATCTCAACACTCCGCTCTCTCCTTGGGGATCTCAACACTCTGCTGTCTCCTCTGGACAAAAAATAAATGAAGAGATACAATATCTAAATGATACCATAAATGAAATGGACTTGAGAATTATAATGAGCCACCTGAGTTGGTAAATTATTGCATGTAAAAGAGCTAATTATTTCCTTCTGAAGACTGTAGCATGCCCACCTCACCCCCATCTTTGACTGAGCCCTGATAAAGACATATATGCTTATTAGGAAACTCAAGAAAGCCCAAACAGGAAAAGTCTTCAGAGCATTTAAGCTCTCATTCCTCACTGTTACTCTGGTAATTATTATAACTAGACAAAGTTTCATTTTTCTGCATGTGCAGAGGGCAGCAGTCCTGTAGATAATCCATACCAATTGGCAATAGTTGAAGAATACACACAATGCTCATCACACACACATATGATACACATACACTCATACACACACATGCACACACACCTTGAAAACCCCTTGGTATCTGATTTTGACATGCCTTTTGCACAAACAGCTTCTTTGCCTGGGCAGCCCTTTCTTCTTTATAGTTTTGGCCTTCTCTCTGGCTCATAAATTCCTTCCTCAAGGGCTGCACCCACCCCTGACTGCACACATCCCTGACTGCACCCACCAACTACGCTTGCTCTTTGGGCCTGCCTCCTTTCAGCATGCAGGCTGAGTAGTATCAACTCCCACTTGGATTTCTAAGGGTTCTGAAGTGTTTTTCAAACACAGAAGCTTGCCTCTTCCACTGGATTGCAATGACTCCAAACATTGGGGTAGAGTCAGGGGGTATCAAGTGCTTACATTGACTCAATGATTGTCTCACATGAAAGACCTTCTTCGGACAAGGCAAGAGGTGTGTGTGTGTGTGTGTGTGTGTGTGTGTGTGTGTGTGTTAATAGCTGAAATTGAGAGGCAAGTAAATGTTTTGTGAGTTTGGCCTGAATAGCAGCTTCCCAAAGATCACACACTGTGGCCTGGTCTTCTGCATTCACTAGCAATTCAGAAACGTTGTCCCTGAGTTACTAGTAGGAGAACAAACCAAGTGAATGATGCTTTGGGCACTTGGGGTAAGGGCCAAGAGCTGCACGGCACCTGGCATCACAATCCTTGTTCCTATCATTAAAGCTGTGTCCCCTTTTCCTGTCTTCCTTTCTAACACAAGATTTTGCCTCATTTCCATTTTTCATTTCCAGGAAAGAAGAAATCCAAATTTAAAGCCTTCAAGAGCTTTTTTGGCAAGAAGAAGAAAAAAGAGCCTGTAGATACCCAAAGAGGGAGGATGCTAAAACCAAGCTTATCCAGCAGCAATATTAACATCTGTTCTCTGAAGCCAGTTCAGGAAGGTCAACCAACTGAGCCTAGGTAAGCTCACGTAGGGACTGGGGACAGTGCAAGCAGCAGACAGCTAGATCAATGCCCTCTACTGGAAGCCAAATCACCAATGGACCTTTGGTCCCAGGAACCTTTGGTCTTCCTATGTTCGTTACCAATGCAGCCCATGTCCAATAGACATTTCATCTGTGTGCATATGCATGTTTGTTGTCTGGGCTACCCAGCTCAGTGAGTTAGGGCATGGAAAATACACATCCCATTCCCCAAGAGCATTGGTTGGGAGGGTGCAGATACATCAAGGGAACTCATCTTGTCACAGCTAAAATAACTTGAGTTGTGGAACCTATTTCTAATAAGGAGCTGTTTCACATGGTAAGGAGTGCCTGCATCGTTTAAGAGGCTTGGTCCTGTTTGCTTGCCCAACCCTCAGACTGCAGATTTGGCCAAGCAGAGTTAGATCTTATAATGAGTGATTAAAGTCTTAGATAGTAAAGCCATCTAGCCAGTGCAGGGCGGGGGGCAGGGGGGCGGGGACATAAACATGAAATCAATGTGTTGCTATAAAAATATTGACAAGCTGGGTGGGCATGTGGCATGGGGGTTAAGGTACTGAACTCCCACATGACTGACCTTAGTTTGAATCACAGATATAGCAGCTTGAAACTCACACTGATTTTCCCTTTTTCTCTCTCTCTGTCTCTGGTCAAATTGAAAAAAAAAAAGATGATGAATAAAATTAAAATAATTCTTAAAAAAAATTAACAAGCAAACAGACAAGCAAGCAACCCAAATCCTTTTCTCTCTCCACCCCAGGAAATTACAGAAAATGATGTAACTGGTCACAGAGGATATGAGGAAGACTGTTTTTTAGCCACCATTGCCACCTTATTCAAATTTTCATCTGCAGTGTCTTAATTTCCACATCCTATTAGTACTCTCTCATCTGAACATCCAGTAGTAGTCCCAGCTGTCCTGGATCAATTGAACCCCTCCCCTCTTCTATGAAGTTCTACTTGGGCCAATTCTCCTGGCCTTAAACTCTAGATTTATTTTGACTCTTGATTGAGCTCACCAGAGCTGCTGCCTATTCCTTTGAGGCTTTGCTTGGTGGCAATGGGACAGTCAGCTAACGTGTTTTGCTGCCTTCAATCCCTCCCCACAACACTTCCTGTAATATGGTGGCCTGACCAGCAGTCCCCAACCTTCCAGCACCAGGGGCCAGACTCATGGAAGACAATCCCTCCATGGGTGGGAAAGGAATTAGTCCTGGAATGACTCAAGTGCACAACATCTGCCGTGAACCTCATTTCTACCACTACCACATTGCAATATACAATGAAGCAATCACATCACAATAGAGCTTGTGCTCACATGAAAATCCAGTACCACCATGATCCAACAGGAGGCAGAGCCCAGGTGGCAATGCAAGTGATGGGGAATGGCTGCAAATACAGTTGAAGCCATGCTCCCTCACCCACAACCTGGCCTCCAACAGACCATAAATAGGCACTGGTCAGTAGCCTGGAGGTTGGAAATTCCTAGACCTGACAGTTACCATGTGTGGCCCCTTAAGAAGGACCTTTAATTTTAATTTATTTTTAAGAGAAATTTTGCTATAAGGCATGTACACTTGCCAGAGAGACACAGACAGAAAGCAAGAAATCACCCCCAAAGGAGATGGCCACACCACAGGATTTTGGATAATCATACACATGCACCTGGCATGAATTTCAAGCCACTAGATCTGGGACTGAAACCATGGTCAACCACGTGGGAATCCAGAGATGTAACCATTATGCCATCTGTTGGTCCCAAGAAGGACCTTTAGAAGTGCATTCATTGTGAGGAATTTCAAATGGCTTTGCTAGTAGTGGGGATGGTTTAGGACTTGGTTTGTTCCCCTCTTAATAACTTAGGGACAGAATGCCTGCTTTGTTGGTTAATGCAGAGGCTCAGGCCAGAGCTTGTGATGATCTTTGAGCAGCCTTTATATAGGCCAAACACACATTTTTAATTTTGGAAAAATTCATTGATCTATTTTTTTTTTCTTTTGATGCTTGTGCTTTTGGTGTCATATATAAGAATCTGTTATCAAATACCAGATCATCAAGATGTACCTCTATGTTTCCTTCTAATAATTCCATAGTTTCAGCTTTTTTATTTAGTTCTTTGATCTATTTTGAGTTAATTTTTATACATTGTTAGAGATAAAGGTCCAACTATATATTTTTTTGTATGTAGATATCCAGTTGCCACAGCACCATTTGTTAAAAAGACTATTCTTTTCTCATTGTTGCAAATGAATTAACTGTAAATGTATGGGTTTATGTTTTGATTCTCAAATATATTCCATTGATCTGTAGGTCTGTCTTTATGCCAATGCTATCCTATTTTGATTACTTTAGTTTTGTAATAAGTTTTGAAATCAGAAAGTGTGAGTTTTTAAACTTTCTTCTTTTTATTCTTCTTTTTTAAGATTTTTTTGGCTATTCATGGTCTCTTGCATTTCATTATAATTTTTTTTTTTTTGAGAGATTTTCACTGTAGGGCGCGTGCGCTCACCAGACAGACAGAGAGAGACAGAGAGACAGAAAGCGAGAAATCACCCCCCAGGGGGGATGGTCATGCCGCAATCCCTTCTCCTCCGTTCTCCTCTCGGGATCTTGGGCACGCACACACACATGCCCAGCGTGAGTTTTAAGCCACCGGGTCCGGGACACGAACCGCGGTCGACTACATGGGAGTCCAGTGACATAGCCATTACGCTAACTGCTGGTTCCCATTTCACTATAATTTTTAAGATTAACTTGCCCATTTCTGAAAAAAAAAGCAGCTGGAATTTCAATAGCCATCAAGTTGAATCTACACATCAATTTGTGAAGTATCGGCATCTTGATAAGATTAAATCTTCCAATCAATGAACATAGAATGTTCTTCCATTTATTTAGGGATTCTTTAATTTTTTCAGAAGTGTTTTATAGTTTTTAAAGTATAATTTTTGCACATCTTTTGTTAAATTTATCCCTAAGTATTTTGTTATTTTTGATGCTACTGTAAATGGAAGTATTTTTTAATTTCATTTTCACTTTGTTCATTGGAAATGTATTGAAATATAGTTTTTGTACATTGACCTTATATCCTGCCATTTTCTTGAATTCATTTATTAGTTCTAGTAATTTTTAAACAGATTCCTTGAGAATTTTAATTTTTATATATTAAAATCATGTCTTCCGTGAAAAGAGACAATTTCATTTCTTTCTTTCCATTCTGGATTTTCTTTTATTTCATCTTTTTTAATTTCCTTGGCTATAAGTCTCAATACAATGTTGAATAGAAGTGGTAAGAGCAGCTACCCTTGTTTTGTTTCTGGTCTTGGGGAGAAGCATTCAGTCTCTCACCATTAGAATGATATTTATTTGTTATAGATGTCCTGTATCAAGATTGAATTAATTTATCATGAATTAGTGTGGGCTTTAACACACTTTTTTCTCCATCTATTAAAATGATTTTGTGTGGTTTTTGTTTTTATTTTATTGATACAATGAGTTATATTTATTGATTTTTCATATATTAAACTAACCTTGCATTCCTTGCAAATCCTACTTTGCCATAGTGTATAATTCCTTTTATATGCTGCTGGATTCAGTTTGCTAGTATTTTATTGAGGATTTTTGAATCTATAAGAGTTATTGATCTTTAGTCTTCTTTTTTGTGATCACCTCGGTTGAAAATTTTTAAAAGATAAAATGTCCTAGAAAGAGTCTTTTGTACCTTTAGTCTTTCATTTGTTTCCTCTAATTTATCTTAATACATAATTGTCTGCCAGGATTCATTCCTGATCAGAAAGTATTTTCACTTGAGTTTAGCAAGGGAAGGAAGAGGTGAGTGGCACAGAAGATGATTTTAAAAATAGGACAGGACCAGTCCTGTAGCCTAGTGGTTAAGGGAGATGGATCTCACATGGCTGACCCCAGTTCAAATCCTGGACCCTGGTAGTTTGAAGACCATGCTGGTCTTGTATGTGTGTATTCCCCGTATCCAGATAGTATGGAAAAATGGAGGAGAAGGGACTGTGGCATGATGCCACCCCATTGGGGATGATTCCTCTCCCCCACCCAGAAAATGCACATTCCCTCTGGCAAAAAACAAACAAACAAACAAAAACCAGAGTATTGCAGAGCCTTTGTGTGAAAGAGGAAAAGACCTGGTGAATGAAAAACCTTCTGCATCTAGGGAGATCTTTGGCATTTAAAGCAAATCAAAACAAAAGTACCAGAGGGAGATTTAAGTGCAAAAGTTATTTTATAACTCTTACCTTAATAATAGCAAGATTCAGAGCCCTCTCTCTCACTCCCCAGGATTGCCACTATTGAATTATATACTTTCAATGAGTGAATCCTATAGTATGGGAACCATATCTCAATAAAGCTGTTATACAAATTGGGACCAGCAGATGGCATAATGGTTACATTGCTGGACTCCCACATAGTCAACTGTGTTTCGAGTGTAGGACCTGGTGACTTAAAACTCATGTGGGGTGCCTGTGTGTGCCCAAGATCCCAAGAGAATGGAGGAGAAGGGACTGTGGTGTGGCCATCACCACTGGGGGGCAGTTTCTCGTTTTCTGTCTCTTGGGTGAGCACACGTGCCCTATAGCAAAAATCTCTCTCTAAAAACAAACCAAACCAAACCAAACCAAAACCAAAAAACTGGGTTTTCTTGATAATTTTTAAGATTAAAATTATACAGAAGTACATTAAGAAAACAAAAATTTGGGGCCAGCAGGTGGCATGGTGGTTAAGGGCGCTGGACTCCCATATGGCCAACCATGATTCAAGTCCTAGACTTGGTGGTTTGCTTTCTCAATTGCTCTCTCTCTCTCCCCCTCTCTGGTCAAATCAAATAAAATAAAAAATTAATTTAAATAAAATAATTCTTTTACAAAAAAAGAAAATGAAAATCCACCTCCTGTGTCTAGTGCTTTTTCTCATAGGAAACCACGACTAACAATTTAGTGGATATCTTTACAGACTATTCTTTGAATATAAACTATGTATATATGTAATATATGCAGCTATATTAAATGAGATCATAATAGTCTTTTTTTTCACCTAATATCTTACGGACAACTTTCTGTTGTCAGCACATACGCATCCCTACTATTCTTCTGAGGTATCTATGGTAGGCTGGACTATGAATATACATTTTTTCTTTCATTCCTATGGCCCTTGGGCTGCTTTTATAAGACCTTTCCTTTATTTTCAGGCCCAAGAGAAGCATGGGAAACAAAGCCTTATCCCATGACAGCATCTTCATGTTGGAGACTGAGTCTGAAAGACCAGCAAGTGAAAGGTGCACTTCTACAGAATCTCAGCAAGGCAGATTTCAACAGGTAATAGTGGACTTGAGCATCGGTGCCTAACTAGACTATTTCTTTCATTCCCTACCTCTACTCATCCCCCCCCACCACAAAAGGAAGAAAGAAGTTGGCCCTGCTCCTTAGCTTGTTGTACCCATCAGGTCTTGGTAAGCATTGAATGAGAGAATGTATACATGAATAACATGCTTACCTATTGCCCAGCATGAAGTGCTGCATGAGTATTACCACAGTCATTTAACACACCTTAAGAACACTTTAATTATTTTGGCAGTGACGTTCCACTGTTTCTATGGTAACATACCAACTGAGTTTTGCTCTCTTCAACAGATATCTCTTGCTTCCAGAAGTCTGCCTAGAACTGGGAGTAGTGATATGCATGGAGCTGTGTCTGGAGCTGTATTTGGAATGGGACCCCAATATATACCCAGAAGTGGAATCTGGATTGGGGGTTCTGAGATTACTGAGGTAATAGAGTGAAATTGTTCAGAGCATGGGCAGCTGAGTCAGATCTATGCTTGAAGTTTTATTCTGCTACCTACTGGCTATGTGACCTTAAGTTAGTTGCTGAACTCTTCTGAGCCTTCCTTTCCTCATGTACAAGAGCTATATATAATATTAATATCTACTTCAAAGAGTTGCTTGTGAGTATTGAATGAGGTCTCAGAGTAGTTAAAGAGATTACTCAAGCTCACCCAGGTAGTAGGTGGTAGACTTGGAAATCTGATTTAGGTGTGTTGACCTTAAAACCTATGGTCTTTCCATTTTTCCAGTCTCTAAGGTGCTCCACTTCTTTGTACCTGCCTAGACAGGGAAAACAGTACACTTTTTGCACCCATAAAATACATCATGCACATAGGACATCTCTTACCTCCAGTTAATCCTAATTTATGGGAGATATCTGTTGCCAGTCAGATTCTTCTGAAGCTCTCATCCAGAAATGTTCCAGGGGTAGCTGGAGATACTGCCATGGAGACAGCTCCAAGCAGCTACTTTCTTCCTTACCACAGTCTGTGGGTGGGATTATACCCAAGGATTCCACTATAATAACTAATAATACCACACAAGAAGGAGGTCCTTCTGTACTGGAGAGCAAATTATGTTGCATCTGGCAGAAGGTATTTGGGGCTTATTTCTAACATGCCTGCTTAAGACTGCATATCTCTAACTCTGGTTTCTTTGTTGTGTGTGGAAGGTCTATTGGGTCCATTGGCCATGAAGGAGGGAGAAGAAAACACTGAGATAGTCACTAGTGGAGCTAACCTATGGTTGTAAAGTCACCTCTAGGGTCAGCACACTGTTGCCTTCTTGTATTACAATAGGAGAAGTCACTTCCATGAACTTTTCAATTTTAAATATCCACATTAGCTTTCGCTTTCTTCCATAGCAACTCTTCCTGGCACTCCGTGACCATGATTAAATGCCATGGGGCGATTTTTCACACTCAGAAGGAGAGACACTGTTTCCTAGACTTCTGCCTTTTTCCTTGCTCTCTGAGTCCTGGCAATCTCAGAGAGACTTTTGTATCAGAGATAGTTCATTTGGAAAAAAGAAAAGTTGTTTTTTGTTTGTTTGTTTTTAATTAAAGGAAAAGATTCTAGGGGCGTAATTTCTCACAACGAAGAAGGTAGGGGAAGCCACAATAGCTCAAAGGCAACTTCTGGCTATTATATATTTAGTTTGGGCCCACTTCACACTTCACACCTTTGGCCTGATTCTTTAGGTTTTCCTTTGGAGAACAGGGATGAATACAGCATAGGGTGGTAATAAGATCCAAGTCATCAACAACCAGATTGGCCTTTGTAGGCAACTTCCCTTAAGTGCAAAGTTGACAACCCCAAGTGGCAGGGTAGTGGATACCATTAAATCAGCAGTCTTGGCACCCAGTGCTATTTAGAAGCTTGAACAGGTATGAAATTGGCCAGTGGCTGGCTCCCTTGAAGGGGAAGAATTCTTAATAGATAAAGTGACATTCAGAGCAACATTCAGGAGATTGTGAGAGAAGAGATCCAGGTATACAGTTTTGTCACAAATATTGAGACTAAGCCAATTTTATCATGTAGCTCCCAGGTTTTCACCTGATGTCCTGTAAGAAATGTTAGGAATGTAGGTGCCTAGATTATTCTTTGAGATGTTGTATGTTTTCTTTATTTGAGCACAAATAGCTAAGATGTAACAGCAGATTATTAACATCTTTCCAGTATTCGATCAAATTGAATTTAGTTGTTCAAGATACAGATGCAAAGCAGTTTTTCTTACTGCTTATAGGTCCAATTTTCCTTCTGCAGCCCTCTGAAGCAAGCATGCCATCTGTTCTTGTTGCTCTCAAATTCCCTGAATTGGGCCTTCAGTATGAGTATTCCCCTTCTTGGCTGTTATACTTAGGAGACAGGAATACACAATAATTAAGAACATGGGCAATTAAGCTGGGAAGACCTTTCAAATGTTTATTCTGCCACTGAGAGCCTTAGGACCCATTATGTCATCTCTCAAACTTCATTTTCCCGTGGGTCAAATGGACACTACAATAGCAAATGCCTCAATGAATTGTTGTGATGTTTAAATGAGATACATCTACAGAGTACTCCCTGTCTGGCACATGATAAGCTCTTGGTAAACATTATTTGTCATTATCATAATCATTACTATTAGAGATGGGCTTGGGGAATGATTGATCTGGCCTCTTCCCAAGAACCCTCAATGGGGCCTGGTAGTAATAAGGGGACACTGAATACCCTGACCAGAAGTACCCCAGGGTCAAAAACTTGGCAAACCTTCTCTGTGGCACCTTTTCTTTGACTTTAGTGCCTGAAAGTCATCTGTCTTGAGCTCAGTGGGGCTTTCAATGGAAGCATGACTCTTTTATTTTGTTCTTTGTCATAGTTCAGTTCCTGAAATGGAAGGTAAAACATTACCTTCCATTAGATGCTTAAGTAGTATTTGTTAAAGATCAGGGATCTTGATCCATATCAAAAGGGCAATCATCTTCAAACTGCAATGCTGAACCACAAGGAAAATCTGAATGATCCATTTTTATCCCCTTAGGAAATTAGGACTAGTTTCATAGATTTTCTTTTTTTTCAATCACAGAAAATCAGTCTTGATGGGATTATGATAAGCAACCAACATGGTCAAAATCCAATTCAGACAGTTCTTGGAATAGTAAGAGCAAGGAGCGTTGTTTGGATGCCAAGCCCAGATCATATTCCAAAGACTCACCTCTCTGAAAGCTGGATTTCCAAAGAGATGGCCAAAATTAAAACAAAGATGTGAATCAAATAGCATTTACAGTTAGTATCGGTTAGGAGATAGCACCAGGATTCTGTTTCTGATAAAACAAGCAGTTTGAAGTTTGTCTTTGGAGATTGGAAAACGTGTGCAGCAACCTTTTAGCAAACCTATAGTAAAGGCTATTAGATTTTGCTTTGAATAGATACTAGAAGTACAGACAGAGAGGTAGGAGATTATTTCCTGGGTCTACTTTTGTCACTTTGAGTTCTTAGTCCTTCAGCCATTGAGACACAAGAGAATACCAGTAACTTGGAAGCAAGCACACAAGTTCTCTTTCCTCCTATCCTCCCTTTTGCTAGATCCCAACAATGCACCCATGCCAACCCAGAATCAGCCCACCTCTTATCCTATTACACACAATTCCTAAAGACTTTGAAGAAATCTCTATTGATGATGAGTCACCTAACGACCCACAAAGGAAGGCTTCACTACACAAGAATTTGACAGAGAGGGTGAGTACTAACCTCATCCTAAGGGACAGGTGGGGGACACAAGGTCAGAAGCCTAATTTTCTTCTTGTGTCCTATTTTCTTGAGCTGTATGTAGTTTGACACTAGGGGATATTTGAGGAAAGAGCAACCATTCTTGGCTTGTGATTTGCACCATGGTTTACATTTTCCATCCCATTCTACAAACCAAATAGTCACCATTCTAATTTATAAGCAATGAAAGACAGTATTCCAGGAAAAAAAATAGTTTATAGATGTTTTCAGTTATTCATGTAGATTAAAAATATAATTTTTTAAATAATTATTTTTATTTAGCTTTGTTTATTTATTTATTTAAATTAGACCAGAGAGGGACAGAGTGAGAGCGAGAGCAAGACAGAAAGAGAGAGAGGGAAAGTGAGAAAGCAAGCCACCAAGTCTAGGACTTGAACTGTGGTCAGGCATGTGGGAATCCAGCACCCTAAACCACCATGCCACCTGCTGATCCCTAAAAGTAGAAATTTTTACTGAAGCAAAGCCTCTACACCTTTAAAATCCCAAATATCAAAGGTTAGAGCATGTAGTATTGTTTAATAGATACATATTTATTTGCTTATTTAGTTTAATTTGACCAGAGAGGGACAGAGTGAGAAAGAGAGAGAGAGAGAGAGAGAAAGTGAGAAAGAAAACCTCCAGGTCCAGTACTCCAACCAAAGTCAGCCATGTGGAAGTCCAGCACCCTTAATACCACACCACCTGCGGGCCCCTGTTATTATTATTTTAATTTGCTACAGGGCATGTATGCTCACCAGAGAGAGACAGAGAGAAAGAAAGAGAGGGAATGTGAGAAAGCAAGCTGCCAAATCAGGAGTGAAACAGCGGTCTGCCATGTTGGAGTCCAGTGCTTTAGTCACCACACCACCTGCTGGCCCCATGTGTATACTTCATATATCTAGGTTTGCCAACCAAATATCTATTGACAGTTGGTAAATTAGTAGATTGAACCTATGTCAACACTTCTATTTCCAAACTAATGTATGTTTAATTTAATTGATTGTTGAATTTGAAAAGGATTTTAGAGTAAACTAGAGTTTAGAACAATTACTATTGGAATCTGAAAAATAAACAGAAACATAATATATAATAAAGATAATTGGCCAATCAGAACAAAACTCTGTTTTGATGTTAAAAAATCCTTTAGGAGGAAACAGTCTTCAGTTAGCTATGTCAAAATACAATCTGATTAGGATCAAAGTTAAAGCACAGACTAGGAGTAGGTTGATGGATACTCACTGATTTAAGGATTTAATCTATAAATATAAGTGTGTTTTGTAGAATACCGAATTGGTATGGACAGTAGGAATTGGTGGAAGGATTGAATTAGTTAACATATTTTATTATGGTAAAATACAGATAATATAAATTTTACCATTTTAACCATTTTAAAGTGTGCAATTCAGTGACATTACATACATCCACAACTAGCACCATTATTCTCTCTCTAGAACTTGCTTGTTTCTCCCAAGTGGAAACTCAGTACCTATTAAACACTCACTTAGGGACCAGTAGATGGCGTAATGGTTACCTTGCTGGGCTCCCACTTAGTCAACCACAGTTTGAGTCCCAGATCCGGTGGCTTAGAACTCATGCCAGGCATATGTGCATGCATGCGCAAAATTCCGAGCGGAGAATGTAGAAGGGATTGTGTCACTCATTCCCACCACCCCCCCCCCGGGGAGGGTGATTTCTTGCTTTCTGTCTCTCTGTCTTTCTCTGTCTCTCTCTGGCGAGTGCACATGCCCTATAGCAAACATTTCTGTCCTAAAAAAAGAAACATTCAGCTAGCATTCCTGTCTCCCATCACTCCCTGACAGCAACTGATCTGCTTTCAATAATGTATTTGCCTATTTTAGATATTTCACATAAACGGAATCATACGTGTATGTGGCTTTTGTGTCTAGCTTCTTTTACATAGCATAATGATTGTGAAGTTCATTGACACTGTAGCATGTACCAGTACTTAATTTCTATTTACAGCTGAATTATACTCCATCGTGCTACATTTTGTTTAGCCATTCATCCATTGATGGACAGTTGTGTCCTATTCACCTTTTGGCTATTGGCGAATAGTGCTATTATAAACATTATGTACAAGTTCTTGTTTGAACACCTGTTTTCAATTCTTTTGACATATTCCTCAAGAGCAGAATTGCTGAATCCTGTGGTAATTCTATGTTTAGTTTTTGGAGGAATAGCTAAACTGTTTTCCCCAGCAGCAATACTACTTTATATTACATTCCTACCAGCAATAAATGAGAGTTCCAAAAACACCCCATCCTGGCTAACATTCTGTATTTTCCTTTTTGTTTTTATTGTGGTCATGTTAGTGTGTGTGAAATAGTATCTCATTGTGGGTTTGATTTGCATTTCTCTAGTGACTAATGACATTAAGCATCTTTTCATGTGATTATTGGCCATTTGGATATATATTTTTTGGAGGAATGTCTATTAAACTTCTATGCCCATTCATTAATTGGGTTGTCTTTTTGTTGTTCAATTATAGGAGTTCTTTTTATATTGTGGATATTAGACTCTTGTCAAATAATATGATCCATAACTATTTCCCCCATTCTGTGAGTAATGTTTTTACTTTCTTGGTAGTATTCTTTGATGAACAAATTTTTTAAAACAAATTTGATGAAGTCTAATTTATCTATTTTTTTCCTTTTTTATTTGTGCTTTTAGTGTTATATCTAATTGTCAAATCTAAAAACATGATGATTTTATCCTATGTTTTCTACTAAGAGTTTTAGCACTTATATTTAGCTCATTGATTCATTTTGAGTTAATTTTTTTTTGTATATGGTATGAGATGAAGTCTAACTTCATTCTTTTGCATATGGGTACACTTGTCCCAGCATTATTTGTTGAAAAGACCATTCTTTTCCCATTGAATTGTCTTAGTACCTCTGTTGAAACTCATTTGCCAAGGTGAATGGGTTTATATCTGGACTCTAAATTCTATTCCATCGATCTATAAATCTGTCCTTATACCAGTACCACACTGTTCTGATGACTGCAGTTTTGTAATCAGTTTCGAAACTGCAAATTGTGAGTCCCTCGATTTTTTTTGAAAGGTATTTTGCTATAGGGCACACATGCTTGCCAGAAAGCGAGAGACAGAGAGACAGAAAGTGAGAATTCACCCCCCAGGGGGATGGCCACACCACAATCCCTTCTCCTCCATTCTCCTCTCGGGATCTTGGGCATGCATGCACATGTGTCTGGCATGAGTTTAAGCCACCGGGTCCGGGACTCAAACCACTGTCGACTACATGGGAGTCCAGTGACGTAGCCATTACACCATCTGATGGTCCCCAATTTTGTTCTTTTTAAAGATTGTCTTGGCTCATCAGGGTCCCTTGCAATTCCATATGAATTTTACAATCAGCTTTTCCATATCTTCAAAAAGACCCAACAGGATTTCAATAGGGATTATATCGAATCTATAGATCACTTTGGGAAGTATCACCATCTTAACATGAATTTTCTAATCCATGAGTATGGAATGTCTTTCCATTTGTTTAGATCTTTTTAAATTTCTATGATCAGTGTTCTGTAGTTTATAATGTTTGAGTTTTGTACCTCCCTGGTTAAATTTGTTCTTTAGTATTTTATTCTTTTTTATGCTGAAAATGTTTTCTTAACTTCTATTTTATACTATTTACTACAAGTATATAGAACTATAACTGATTTTTGTGTATTGATCTTGTATCTTTCAACTTTGATAAACTCATTCATGAACTCTTACAGATTTATGGAGATTCCTTACAATTTTCTCTGTCTGTTATTTGAGAATAGAAATAGTTCTGCTTGTTCTTTCCAAGAAAGAAATCTTTCATTTCATTTTCTTGCCTAATTGCTCTGGCTAGAACTTTCTGTAGCATGTTGGATAGAAGTGGTGAAAGTAGACATCTTTGTCTTATTCTCGATCTTGGGGAAAGCTTTCAGTCTTTCGCTAGTAAATATGATGTTAGCTGTGGGTTTTTCATATATACCTTCTATCCCTAGTTTACTAAATATTATTATTACCATGAAAGGGTATTGGATTTTGTCAAATATATTTTTTGCATCAATTGGGAAGTTAGTGTAATATTTTTCTTTTATTCTATTAAAGTGCATATTATATGATTCTTCATATGTTGAAACATTTTTGCAATCCTGTGATAAATCCCACTTAATCATGATGTATGATCACACCAATATGATATTGCATGTGATTTGCTAGTGTTTTTTACATATATATTCATAAAGGATATCAACGTACATCATGCTTTTCTGTGATCCTTTTTATCTACCTTTACTTTCTTCATAATGCCAGCCTCACAGAATCAGTTCGAAAGTATTTTATTTTTCTGGAAAAGTTTGTGAAGAATTGGTGTTTGTTTTTGTTTAAAATTCTGGTAGAATTATCTGTTGCTCTCTCACTCTGTCCCTCTCTAGTCAAATAAAATAAAATAAGTAAAGTGAAATGAAATAATTCTTTAAAAAGAGATTCTGGTAGAATTCGCTTGTGAAACCATCTAATCATCGTCTTTTCTTTGTTGAAAAGTTTTAATTACTGAGTCAATATCTTTATGGGTTATAATATTATTTATATTTTCTATTTCTTCTAAGTTAGTTTTATTAATTTAGATGTTTCTAGAAACAGATAAATAATATTCTGAACATACTCGATATAGAAACGGCTAAATTTTTGCTGAGCTTGACTTTTTTGTTACACTATAGAATGAGTTTTGCTAAAGTAAACACTGCTTTTGTCTGTAGTGTTTATATCACAAGGTTTTGTATGTTAACTGAATTATAATATTTGTTTATTAAGTATATATTTACTTACTGTCTAGGCATTGTAAGTTAACTTTCATGCAAAGCAAGTTGCATGGTATCCTGTCAAGGTTTCCAGATCTATAGATCTCCTTGTCTTTCTTCTTCTACCTTTGGCGTGAGCTAGTAAAGGCTCAGGAAGAATAACTAAAATGGTATATTGAACTAGAGGAGCTTGGTCTGACATCTCAGAAAGGCAACATCTGGTGGAAGGTTTCTCCAGTTCAAAAACACTTACTCAGGGGGCCAGCAGGTGGCAAGGTGGTTAAAGGTGTTCGATTCCCACATGGTTGACCATGGTTCAAGTCCTAGACCTGGTGGCTTGCTTTCTCCCTTTCCCTTTCTCTCTCTCTCTGCCTCTCTCTGGTCAAATTAAAAATAATAATAACAATAACAAATGGAATTAAATAAATAATTCTTTAAAAAACAAATACTTATTCAGCAACTACTATAGAACAAGCCCAGTTCAAGGTGCTGGGGATACAGTAGTAAGTAAACAGATGAAAACCTTCTTCATGGAGTTTTTACTGTACTGGGGGATATAGACAAGAAACAAAATAAATAAGGAAAATGTATAGTATGTTAGAAAATGCACAGTGACCAGGAGAGGGCTCAGCCCATAGCCTAATGGTTAGATCCCACATGGCCAACTGTAGTTCGAATTCTAGCCCTGGTGGCTTGAAAAATACAAGTGTGTGTGCTCACATGCCCCAAATCTCAACAGAATGGAAAAACTGAGGAGAAGGGATTGTGCCATGGCCACATCCAAGTGGGGGAGACTTTCTCCCTCTCTCTCTCTAGGAAGCACATATGCCCTCTGACCATTAAAAAAAATAGTTACTAGGAGAAAAACAATGCAGGGAAGGGGGTTATGAAGTGACAGAGCTAAAACTTTTAAATAGTGGTATTTCTATCCAGAGGGCAGTGGGGCACCCCTGAGTGCTTTCTAATCAGGGAACAACTCAAATTCTGTTTCTTGTTTTCATCTGTAAAGGAACTAGTAAGAGCATTGAGCTCACCGCTAATGAGCTTATTAACCAGAAATGTAGGAAAAAAGATAATGAATTTCTTCTTTAGGAATTCTTCAGTCAGAAGAATTTTCAGCTTTTGAGACCAGTGACAGCATATGGATTGACTTGTTCATTTTCTTTCACTCTCTTCAGAGCTTCTCTGAGCTATCATCTGGACCTGATCACTCACAGTCCTCGGCTGCCTTTGCCATGTCTGCCTCTCCTGGCAGCACCCAGATGCCCATTGGTTTCAGCACCCCAGCCACCACCCAGGGCTGTTTGGATTCTTCAGCTGCTCGACACAAGATGGCTTTAAATCCCAGGAAACAAAAGAAGAAGAAGAATCGTCAAGCGCCTGTAAGTCTTTCAAGAGACCTGGATAAGAAAAGATGTGTTCCAATCTTTGCAAACTGCTCCTAGGAAAGTGGTATGGTTTAGGACACCATATGCTAAGTAGGGATGGCAACTTCTAGAGCACTGTCCTGGGTTTGACACCTCTAGAGGGGTGAGCGAATTTGCATTAATGGGATGGGGTGTCTTATCCATTTATAACTCATATAAAGGGGAAGTGAAGAAAACACGGTGACTTCAACCCAGAAACTGCATTATAGGCTTAGCATCGGGAAAGTCCCTCAGCTCTCTTTGTAGAGAATATTCAGTCTTAACCCAGAACAAGATTATCTTGGTTATGAATTAGATGAGATCCAAGAGTTACACTCATTTGGATGGCAGGTTCCCAGAAACTCCAAACATTCAGAACTCAGCTGTCAACTCCTTCAAAGATCTCCACATGGATGTCACTAAATTCTTCCATGTGACTTTCTAGCTGGCACAGCTGTACTTAGGCAAACATACCATATTTGTTTTTCCTTTTGTTTTTCCTTCTTGAGAGATCTTTGTCATAGGGTACATGCGCTCACAAGAGATATGGAGAGACAGAAAGCAAGAAACTTGGGGAAAGGCCATGCCACAATCCCTTCTCCTCCCTTCTCCTCTCAGGATCTTGGGCATGCATGCATACACACCTGGTCTGAGTTTAAGCCACTGGGGCTTGAACCACTGTTGACTACATGGGAGTCCAGTGATGTAACCATTACGCCATTACAATGTGGTCCCCATCCCATGTTAAAAATGTGGCTACAGTTCAGACTCAGAGACTTGACAGCTAAGAGAAGTGACAGTGGGTAGCAGAGAGAGATGACAGAAACCATTTGGGGTCATTTAGTATACAGAGGATCAAGAACTTTGCCCACTTCAATAGGTCCCTCATGACCACATTGTATTTAGTCCAATATATTGGATTGTCAGAAAAGTCATGACACATTTTTGCATATGAAGACATAGAAAAAATACATCATGACTTTCCCAGTGACCCAATAGTAACTCATATTTATTATTTATCTTCATTATGAAAAAATTTGATCGTTCCCTGATCCCTGTTCAAAAAAACAGCGAAGTAATACTTTAGAAAAGATTTTCACTAAAGTGAAAGTAACTGAAAGCTAAGAATGAAGAGATGTTTAGTGTTTAAAAGGATGTATTGATTAGCTAGAAAATTCACTTTGGTCAAATAATCAATTCCACAGAAATTCCAGGCTAAAAGTTAGAGCCTATAAATCAGAGCTAGAAGAAACTAAAAGATTATGTTGGGGCCAGCAGATGGTGTAGCGATTATGTTGTTGGACTCCCACATGGCCAACCACGTTTGAGTCCCAGACCCGGTGGCATGAAACTCATGCTGGGCACGTATGAATGCATTCCCAAGATCTTGAGAGAAGAATGGAGGAAAAGGGATTGCAACGTGGCTATTACTCCTGGTGGAGGGGCAATTTCTCACTTTCTGTCTCTCTGGTGAGTGCACACACCCTATAGCAAAAATATCTCTAAAAAAGAGAAAAGATTGTGTCATACTAGCATTTTATAGGGAAGTATATTAAAGCACAAGTAGGCAAGCATTTGCCCAAAGTCAGACACCAAGATGGTAGCAGAACTGGACCAGAATCCCATCTTCTGAATTCCAGCCCAGTACATTTTTCATCCCACCATGTTGCCTCTAGCTTAGACATCTCAACTTTGCTTTAGAAAGTGGACAAAATAAAGGTTGAAAGAACAGTTGGAGGAGGACGGAAACCCAGGATGTCTTGGTAGCCAAGAGAGGAGCTCCTTAGTTTGGTGTCAAGCAAAGGGTGCCCAATTAGGTGCTAAACTCTATTCATGGATTTTTCCCTGGACACCTCATCACAAACTGGGAGATGAGGGATTTTGGCTAGGGTAAACTTAATGTAATCCTCCTGACATTCTTTCTGCTGCATAGCCTAATTGAGAAAAGGCCTGGACAACACCCTCTGAGAAGGCTGGGACATCTGCTTCTTCCCTGTGCCTCTCTCTCTGACCCATGAATGAATATTAGAAGGTCCAGGATTATTTCTGACCCAGAGGCTGCCACCAATTTCTCCCTGCTCTGGAATTTTTTTAGATTTGTAATTCCCATAAGAGGTTTCTTCTGATTTCTAATTTATAAATGTAGACAAGGAAATTGAGAGATTAATTTGACCCAAGGTCACGCAGCAAGTAAATGATGGAGAAGAGATTTGAGCCCAGGTCTATATAACTTCATTTACTGAAAAATAAATTACTTTGACCTGAGTCTTTTTGCATAGGCACTTCGGGTGGGAGAAAAAAGGGTTGCACATTTGTCTTTAGATGCATGCTTGAAAGGGCTTACACTTTCTAGGCACTGTTCAGTGCAGTGCTATGCTGACATTTCCAGAGTTGCCCTGTAATTATCTGAAAACCTTGTTTATACTAAACCAATTTCAGCTCATTCAATATCAGGGCTGAACCCTTCATCTTTTTCTCTCTTCCCTCCCAAGAGAACCCCAATCCTCTTTCCTCTTTTGAGCTGAAAAGACATAATTCATGCTTTCACTAAATTTGCTGAAAAGAAGCCAAATGGAATTTGAATTTGGTCCACAGGTCTGGTGAAGCAAATCTGAGAATTCCAATCTTGCCAAGGCATGATTATTGTCAGGCTCAACAACCCCATTTTCAGATTTATGACCTTCCATTGTTTCTATAGTTTCTGCGTGCTTTAGACAGATTCCTGCAGCATGTGACCCAAAGATTATAAATTCCAAATCCAGATGAACCACTTCCAATAGGTAAAATGAACACTCAGGACTTCTTGACAGACGCCATTGGAAATAACTTTCATCTCTAATGGTGTTTTGACTTACTGGCATCGAGGACTTTTTTCCAGATGTTTCTTTCTTTGGAAATCATGCTGGGGTAGGTGGAAAGCAGTTTAAGTGGGTTTCAAGCTCTTTCCTTGTTTTAGGTGAAGCCAAAGCAGGATGAGCCAAGCTTTCCACTAATTTCTGAAGAAAATCGTGTAACCAAAGCAGAAGAAACTGACCAAAAGAAGCTGAAAAGATACAGTACAGGTGGGCACATCTTCATCACTCTCACTCTGAACTATATACTATAGGTGGTTCTCCATATAACCTGCCAAATTAATACAATTGCTGTTTGTGTGGGATTTAGGTGAAGAATCATACCTGGATTCCTATTTTATCTAAATGAATTTCCAACCAGTGTTATTTTTGTTTCTTTGTAAATTTGTTGAATGCTTTCTGAGGTGAATGTACATAAAAGGAACTTCAAGAAATTCAAGGAAAAATGGAGTTAAAGTACAGGGTTTTTTTTTTGATACAAAACATTTTGAAATCTGTGTATAGTATTTTTCATAATCTGCATTTCCATGAACTTTTTGAAACTCCCCCATACATGCTGAGTTCTTTAATGAGCCCAGAGATCAGAGTACAACCAGGAAGTTTTCCTTCAGTATTCTTTTTTATTTTTTAGAAAGATTTTTGCTATAGGGTGTGTACGCTTGCTGGAGAGACAGAGAGATAAAGTGAGAAATCACCCCCCCGAGGGGGTAGGTGGGCACACCACAATCCCATGCTACAATCCCTTCTTCTCCATTCTCCTCTCAGGATTTTTGGCATGCACATACATGTACCTGGTGTTAATTTTAAGCCACCAGGTCTGGTCTTGAACCACAGTTGATTCCATGGGAGTCCAGCAGCATAACCATTCCACCATCTCCTCGTCCCTCATCTTCAGTATTCTTCATCAACAATAGAAGCAGACAAGAATAATATAATTGACAAAAAAAATTAATTTTTAAAGAGGTTTTTGCTACAGGGTGCGTGCGCTCACCAGACAGACAGAGAGACAGAGAGACAGAAAGTGAGAAATCACCCCCCCCAGGGGGGATGGCCACGCCGCAATCCCTTTTCCTCCATTCTCCTCTCGGGATCTTGGGCACACATGCACACGCACCCAGCGTGAGTTTAAGCCACCGGGTCTGGGACTTGAACCGCGGTCAACTACGTGGGAGTCCAGCGACATAGCCATTAGGCTAACTACTGGTCCCAACAAAAAAATTAATTTTTTAAAGTTGCCTTTCTCTTCCATTAGAGATAAAAGGTCTTGTGTTAATAATGAGACTAATACCCATATCCAAAGGCAAAGAGGGATTGGGCAGCTACAGATAGCAGTTCTTGGCAGCCAAATCTATCAAATCCCCAAACAACAAATACCACCAGAGTGAAAATCTCTCTGTGATTTTTGTGTGTGTGCATATGTGGATGTTGGCTCCAGCTAACGGCAATCTAATTTCAAACAATATTTGTTAAAACAAGATTCCAGTTATGCAAATTAAGTTGGACAGTTATTTCATGTTTTTGCCACAAAGGATTTCATATGTGCGTTCAAAGACAGGATTTCCCTAAACACATTTTCCCATGAAAACTGACAAAACTATCTTGAACCAAAAGGGAAAGATTAAATGAGTAATCTTTCATCCTTTTGCAGATTTATTTTTCAGTTGTCTCTTGTATACACAGAAGACAGAACTGAGTCAGTACTCATGGGGGCAAATGCTTTGGTCCATTTCCATAGAATGGGAGTTCTATGGAACACCAGCTATTCTCAGTGATATGTTCTGGGTAGGAAACCACTAGATAGACCTAGGTATGTAGTGGATGGTGAGGGAGCAAAAGCAGTGAGGGACCCTCCCACCTGGAGAACGTCCTGTGCTCCTTAGAAAAAGTACTAGATAGAGGAGCCAGTGGATGGTGTAGTGATTAAGGCATTGGACTCCCACATGGTTGACTGTGGTTAGCATCCCATACCTGGCTCGTGTGCATGTGTGCCCAAAATCCCAAGAGGAGAATGGAGAAGGGATTGCTGCATGTCCATTTCCCCAGGAGGTAGTTTCACGCTTGCTGTCTTTCCAGCAAGTGTACATGCCCTATAGCATAAAAGCTCTTAAAAAATAGAGAGGAAAGAAAGAAAAAGAAAGAGAAAGAGAAAGAGAAAGAGAAAGAGAGAAAGAAAGAAAGAAAGAAAGAAAGAAAGAAAGAAAGAAAGAAAGAAAGAAAGAAAGAAAGAAAGAAAGAAAGAAAGAAAGAAAGAAAGAAAAAGAAAAAATACTACAGAGGAGCAACTGCTATCTCTGCCTGACCTGAAGCCTATAAACCAATGCACTAGTTAAGGCATTCTAAGAATTGCTTTGCATGTATTTCCTCTTATGTTTAACATAAGAGGAATAGAAGAAAAATGGTGATAATCTTACCTTGCAGATAACTCTTGTTGATACTTTCCTAAAAATAAAGCAATACATATGTATATAACTAATACAATGTTAGTTTTCATGGGAAAATATGTTTAGGAAAATCCTGTCTTTGAACACACATATGAAATACTTTCTTGCAAAAACATGAAATAACTGTCCAACTTAATTTGTATATTTAGTTTATCAAAGGTTGCTTGAAATGAGCTTACAATAAAGCAATACATACACATGGTATGAAATTTCAAGCAGTTTCAATAACTATTAAATATAAAATAGAAACACTGATTAGAAAATAAAAAATTCTTATCCCCGCCCCAGTTTCCTCAAAAATAATCATTGTCACAAGTTCAAAATTTACTTTTCGGAGAGATTGTACTTGGAAGTAGTGGATGCACCAACATGTCCCGCGGTTCCAGCTCTAGTTTTGACCACCACATTACCATTTTTTCACCCGAGGGCTGGTTCTACCAAGTAGAATATGCTTTCAGGGCTATTAACCAGGGTGGCCTTACATCAGTAGCTGTGAGAGGGAAAGACTGTGCAGTAATTGTCACACAGAAAAAAGTTCCTGACAAATTATTGGATTCCAGCACAGCAATTCACTTATTCAAGATAACTAAAAACACTGGCTGTGTGATGACAGGAATGACAGCTGACAGCCGATCCCAGGTACAGAGGGCACGCTATGAGGCAGCTAATTGGAAATACAAGTATGGTTATGAGATTCCTGTGGACATGCTGTGTAAAAGAATTGCTGATATTTCTCAGGTCTACACACAGAATGCTGAGTTGGTTGTTGTATGATATTAATTGGTATAGATAAAGAACAAGGTCCTCAGGTGTACAAGTGTGATCCTGCAGGTTACTACTGTGCGTTTAAAGCTACTGCCCAGGAGTTAAACAAACTGAGTCAACCAGCTTTGTTGAAAAAAAGTGAAGAAATTTGATTGGACATTTGAACAGACAGTGGAAACTGCAGTTACATGCCTCTCTACTGTTCTGTCAATTGATTTCAAACCTTCAGAAATAGAAGTTGGAGTAGTTACAGTTGAAAATCCTAAATCCAGGATTCTTATAGAAGCAGAGATTGATGCTCACCTTGTGGCTCTAGCAGAGAGAGACTAAACATTGTCATTAGTTTACCAAATCCATGATGCCATTTGCCTGTGTGTTTGATAACAACAAACAAACATATGGAGGACCCTGGATTGTAAAAGGAACCTCTTCCACTCCTCCTACTGCTGAAGTGATTAGGACTCTATATAAATAAAAGCAGTGCTTTTGGAAAATAAAAATTTTTAAAAAATAGCTTTTTATGTGTCTCACACCTAATGATGGACCAAACTATTGATTAAATGGTGATGAGTCAACCCCGGAATCAGTTCACAGAACTGGGATTTCCCTTTGATTAAAAGATTTCCAACCGCCGGAGGCCAGTGTGACCAAGTTGCTCTCTGTCTTTTGAACAGCTGCTTCTTCATAGTAGGTGATTCAGTAGCAAAAAGGTACCTGTTGAGCCAGGTCAGAGTATTCTTATTTTAGGAAATAAAAAAAATATACATATCGTTCTTTTCCTAATTTCTATTTGGTACAGGTCTCTTGAGTCAGGTACAGAGCAAGAAAACTGAGGTCGATGATAAGAAGACAACATATCAGGCTCAAAACACTGATGTTTTTGCGAGTCTGGGTTACCCCGTGTCAGCAGCATATGGACGAAGACGTAGAAGAAAAGGATCAGGTGCTTCAGGAGTGAGTGAGTGTGGATCCAAAGGAAGAAGCCTTAAACAATTCAGTCAAGGACTTGGCCAGAGCAGTAGAGCTGGGTCCTTACCTAAAGATATCAGTGCCAGGGATTTTCATTACTGGCACCTAACCTTGGAAAAGCAAGTCATGGAGCAGCCCACAACTCCACAAGCAGAAACCACTACTCCTCAGGAGTTTCTTTCAGATATGAATGTCCTGGGAAAGAGAAATGTTGGCATAGATTTTGAAGCCAGCAAAGCATCAACACCACAACCCATTCTTGAAGACATGGAAGAGTCTATGATTGGTAGTCCACTATCATATCATGAAGACTGGGCTTCTGGAGCCAAGAAGAGAGAAGTCAAAGCTTTTCTGTTACCAAGAGTGGAAAGCCCTTCTATGACCGAAGAAGAAGCCATTCTCTCAGTGGCAACAGAGGATCAGGCATTTATGGATCCTTCTCATATTCAGTCAGAACAAGAAGAAGCTTCCAGTCTTGGGTGGCAAAATGACCAATTCAAAATGGAGTCAAGCCAGGATATCCCAACTATAAGCAAGAAAAAGCCTCCTGAGAAAGTTCTCCAGTCCTTTACAGCAAGTGTTTTGGATATGACAAGTGCTATGGTGGAGGGAGGCATTTCTGCACAGAGGCTCTCTACCAGAAGCCTTCCCCAGTTCTTGGGGGAGTCTGAAGCTGAAGAAAAATTCTCAGATTCAAAGAGTACTTCAGAAGAGGGGAGTGGTTCTGAGGAACTGGCTCCCAGTCACTCTTCCCAGTCATTGGAGAAGCTTGAAGATGAAATAGAGATCTACTCAGAATCAAGAAGTTCTATTGTGGAATTAAGCAGCTCTGAGGAGCAGCTAACTCCAGAATGCCCTTCCCAGTATTTAAAGGAGTATGAAGATGAAGAAGGTTCTGCAGAATCAAATAATTATGTTGAAAAGTACAGTAGTACTGAGGATTGGAGCAGCTCGGAGGAAGAGCCACTTTTCAGACAACCAGCCCAGGCCTTAGGGAAGCCCAAAGACTATAAAGAAGTCTCCTCAGTTTCAGAGAGCGCTTCTGAAAAGTTGAGTGTTTCTGTGGAGCAACTGACTCCCAGACACTCTGCTCAGCCCATTGTGAGGCCTACTGTTCAGCAACAAGTCTCTTCGAGTTTGGTGAGCACTTCTGCTGAATGGAGTGAGTCTGTGGAGCTAATGCCTCCCACACACCCTTTCCAGCCACGGGTGAGCCCTAAATTTACACAAGTCTCTGCAGGTCCAGAGAGCACTGCTGCTGAGAGGGTCATTTCTGTGGAGTCACTGCCTCCCAGAAAGCCTTCTAAGTGCCAAATGAGGCCTAAAGATGAGCAGCAATCCTCCTCAGAATCAGAAATTACAAATACAGAAAGGGTTGTTTCTATGGCAGCACTGTCTCCCAAGCATCATTTTCAGTCCCTGATGAGACCAGTAGTTGAGCTCTCTGCAGGTACGGAGAGTACCGATACTGAGGGGAACATTTCTGTGCAGCCAAGGCCCCCCAGACGCCCTCTCCAGTCACAGGCGAACCCAAAAGTGGAACAAGAAACGTCCTCATTTCCAGAGAGCATGGCTGTTGAAGAGATCAGTTCTATGGAGCCACCACCACTGAAGCCTCATTCTCAGCCCTTCATGAACCCTGAAGTTCAACCAAACATGTTCTCAGGTTCAGAGGGTATTGCTGCTGAGAGAGTAATTTCTGTGGAGCCACTGCTCCCCAAATATTCTCCTCAGTCCCTGATGAATCCTCAAGTTCAGCAAATATCAAAAAGCACTGCAGATGAGGACATCTTTGTGGAGCAGCAGCAGTCTTCCGGAGTCCCTTCCCAGCCCTTGGTGAGGCCTAAATTGCGGTCACAGACATTTACTATAGATTCAGAGAGCACTTCTACAACATGCAGTGCTTCTGTGGAGCCAACACCTTCCAGACACATCTTCCAGTCATGGGTGAACCCTGAATTTGAGCAACAAGTCTCTGCAGGTCCAGAGAGCACTGCTACAGAAAGAGACATTTCTGTGGAGCTGACCCCTTCCAGAATGTCTTCTCAGGCCCTGATGACACCAGAAGTCAAGCAACCAATCTCTGCAGGTCCAGAGAATGTTGCCATGAAGAAGGACATTTCTACAGAGCAGCAGTCTGCCAGACATCTTCCCCAGTCTGTTGTGAGATGTAAAGTCCAGCAAATTTCCACAAGTTTTGAGAGTGCTGCCGTTGAGAGGGGAATATTTGGGAATCCACTACATCCCAAATATCCTGCCAAGTCCTCAGTGAGCTCTAACATTGAGAAAATATCCACAATTCTACAGAACACTGCTGTCGAAGGCATTTCTAAGAAGTTGGAGCTTCCTAGACAGCCTTCCCGATCATATGTGAAGTTTATGGCACAGCAGATCTTTTCAGAGAGTTCTGCTACTGAAAGGGGCACTTATGCAGACATTCCGCCTCTAAGTCATCCTTCCAAACCATTTTTGAAGCCTAAAGTCGAGCACCATGTTTTCTCAGATGAAAAGAGTGCTGACCCCGAGGGAGGCACTTTGAAGATATTGCCTACCAAGCGTCCTTTCCAATCCTTGAAGAAGCTTGAAGAATCACAAGAAGTTTCCTTGTATTTGGAGAATGATCCTATGAAGTGGAGCAGTTCTAAAGCACAGATGCCTCCCAGACGGCTGTCCCAGGCCTCAGGGAAGCCTGAGTACTGGCAAGAAGTCACCTCAGTGTCTGACAGCTCTCCTCAAGGATGGAAGAGTTCTGAAGAGCAGCTGTCTCTCAGACGCCCTTCACAAGCCTTGGAAGGGTCTGAATTCCAGCCACAGAAGTTCTCAATGTGCTCAGCTAATACACCTGTAGAGCGGAGCGGTCCTGAGGAGCACCTGTCTCCTAGTCACCATTTCCAGGCTTCTGGAGACCCTGAATATCAGCCACAGGTTAATTCAGGTTCCACAAGTGCTGCTGCTGAGGGAACCATTTCTGAGAGCAATCCTGGTAGCTGGTCCCTACCAAACAAAACCAACAAACACAGCCAAGGTTCCAAAGACCTCACTAAGAGCACCCTGCTCCCTGCTACCAAACCTGGGAAATTCACCAATCCTCCTGCCTGGCAAGCATCCACTTCTGGAGGCACTTTATCTAAGAAGATAGTTTCTGAGAGTGGTGATGGAGATAACAGCTCTCAAAACCTACCCACCAATGAGGCTGATATTGAAAACCTTTTTGGAGTCCGACTAAGAAAAATCCCTTCTTCACTGAAGTATAAGAGTGAGAATGAAGATAACTCTACCCAGATTCCTTCACTGCCCGTAGGCCCAGTTACATCTGCTGAAGGTAAAGAACGCCGAAGCAGAAGCCCTTCTAAGGCACTCCTGGACACTGCAGAGAAACTCACCGAAATGTCTGATTCTGGAGAGAAGCAAGAGAGCAGACCCAAATGTGAAGGCACAGCCAAGAAGCAACCTGTTTACAAGATCCCAGGTGAGACTTTTCTCTCTCTAGATATAAAGTAGGGTACCTAGTGGAGGGAAAACCTGGCAAGCAAAGCCTTGAATGGGTCTTGAAATTGGCCCTAGCCTTGCCTACTGAGTTGTTGCCTTTATAGGGCTGACTTTTAGGTTTGGGGGCAGATGGCATCCCATTCTAGATTAATAAATTTGGAGGCGGTGAATTTTGAGTCTTCTCTTTCTTAAAAAGATTCACCTCTGGACATCCCTCCACATTCCATAATAGATACATGACCATTTTTCTCTTCCATTTCCTCCCTACTTACTGTACAACTTACATTTGGATGGAGTTATATATTTTTCTCAAAATACTTTTACATGTATTAGGCCCTTCTCCATCAAAATGTTATTGATTTTTTTTATTGCCAAGGGATAACATGTGTGTGTGTGTGTGTGTGTGTCTGTGAGAGAGAGAGAGAGAGAGAGAGAGAGAGAAAGAGAGAGAGAACTCCCTCAATGGGGCATGATCATACCACAATCCCTTCTCCTCGAACTCCTTCAATGGGGCATGATCATACCACAATCCCTTCTCCTCTGTTTCTCCATCATATCAGCATTTTAGGCATACATATACATACACCAAGTGGGTTTTTCAAGCCACCAAGGCCAGGATTTGGTCTGTAACCAGCCATGTGAAATCTGGCTCTCTAGACTACAAGGCTAGCCCCTGTTATTGACTTTTTTAAGACCAACTTATTAATAGGGAACAATGTTCAGACTCTCAGCCTAAAATCTTAATTTATTACAAATATACTTGTACAGCTTCTTCGCTCACCTGAAATGTCTAAGAATCAAAAGCTAGGTGATCTTTTGAGCACTACTCTCTCCTGAAACCTTTGTACCTTCATATTCACCATCATTTAGTCCTGTATAAGCCACTATGTATAAGGGACTATGAAGTAACAAGAGCTTCTTTGGAGTTAAGAGGAATGACATCTATGACCTGAATCATTGGCCTCTTAGAAATTTTTCCAGCCTACTTGGCATCCATTATCCTACCCTGATTTGGGAATGGGAAGAGAGATGGAAAAGGGAAGGAAAGGGTTCAATAAAGAGACGGGATTTGAAGTACAACTTAACTACACAAGGAACTCTTGCCTTGCCTGGTTGTAGGGAGGGCACAAAAGAAGGAGGAGGCCCTTTCTACTTAATAGCTGCTTATTTTCATTTAGAAATGAATAAAGATTATGTCTGGGACATTATTGTGGGTAAGCCCCAGCCAGGCTCAATGCCCTGGCTGCCTCACTTTAGTTCTAACAGCTTTCATTGCTTTTTTTCAGGAAAGCCTCTTGGTCGACAGTCCGGGTATGCCGTCTCAGAGCCAGCATGGATAACCATGGTGAAACAGAGGCAGAGGAGTTGCCACACCCATGTTTTTATGAAAGAATCAAAAGCCAAGAGCGGCCCTATAACCAAGGATGAGCCGAGATACGGGGTAGGACCTGGGGCACCCCAGAAAACACTCCAAAAGTTTTTGGAGCCATTGACTAAGCTTCTACTGTGAACTATGCTCTCTTTGAGAGCATAAATCATGGCAAGAGGACTTTTCAGGGCAAAAGATTTGTTTTGTACTTACATCAATGGGCACTGTTTTATGCTCTTAAAGGGTTTGTTAAAAGTAGCAAATATGGGGAGCATCTGTAAATCTCATCCTAAATATTCTAGAACAGGTTTCCATCAAACTTATTAAGAACTACAGGGAGTAAGTCATAAAGAAAGGTAACCATTGGAATATGAATCCAGTGACTAATAAATATTTTAAGCCTATAAATATAGATATGCATTTTTGTAAATAAAATCAAATGATTATACTATTTTTTGAGAGGATTTTGCCTTAGGGTGTGTGTACTTGCTGGAGAGAAAGAAACAGAGACAGTGAGAGGGAAAGTGAGAAATGACCTGCAGGGGGGATGGTCGTGCCACAATCTCTTTTCCTCCATTCTCCTCCTAGGATCTTGGGCATGCAAGCACACATGCCCGGTGTGAGTTTCAAGCCCCTAGGCCCAGGACCAAACTGCGGTCAACCATGTGGGAGTCCAGCAATGTAACCGCTATGCCATCTGCTGGCCCCACAATAATACTATTTTTTTTAATTTAACATTTCACTTTTGGGTACATTTCTGAATCAGTAAACAACAGTTTACCTTTATGTGTTTGATGTTTGGATTTCTATACATTCATTTGATTTTGTATGGCACCTACTTGTAGGTTAAAAAAATGTTATGTGATGAGCTAAGCTAATGGTACCTGTGGATCAGGGACAATGGGATGATGACTTGCTCCACTCTTGTCAAAACTGCAGACAACTTGGGCCAGATGGTGCAGCATTAAGTGTGATGCTTAGTGAGGCCGACCCACATGGGAAGGTTCCAGGTTTGAGTCTGGAGACCTTCCTGAGTATGCTGTGCACATTTTTTTCCCATGATTTGGAACTGGCAATGCTGAAGAGGAATCATGACATCAAGACCCTATAGGGAGTGTTGTCTGTCTGTCTCTATCTTCCTATCTCTTTCTCTCACTCATCAAAGAAATAAACTTTAAAAATTAAAACAAGAAATAATACATTTAAAAAAATAAAAACAGAAAACTGGGATCAGAAGGTGGCATGGCGGTTAAGGTGCTGGACTACTACATGGTCAACTGTGGCTTGAGTCCTGGGCCTGGCAGATTGAAAATCATACCTGTTGCATGTACGTGCAAGCTCAAAATCCTGAGAGGAAAATGGAGGAGAATGAATTGTGGTGTGGCCATCCCCCCAGGGGGTGATTTCTCACTTTCCCTCTCACTGTCTTTCTCTCTCTCTCTGGAAAGTGCATGTGCCCTATGGCAAAAACCTAAAAAGAAAGAAAGAAAAAAAAAACTGCAGAAAACCGATTCAAGAAAACATATAAAATGTATGTATCCATTGATATGTCTAAGTTACTATATTTGTATTTTCCTAGTTTTTTTTCTTTTTTTTTTTAATAGCAAAGGATGCATGAGGGAGAGAGAGGAAAAAAAAAATGTGCTCCTCCCCACCCCACCCCACCCCACCCTGTGGCCCACTCTGCATGTAAGCCATCAGAGCTGGAACTCAAATCCTGGGTGATGTTCCTATACTTTTAAGTCGCACTAAATTTGTTAAACGACCTTGTGAGGACCTGTTTAACACTTTGCTTTAAAGACAGATACTTTTTTCATCACTAGTATTTAGTGAGCAGGATCACACAGGGTTTAAGATTAAAGATTTTTGTCAGGGAAATGCACTAGCATCTGTAAACTCATTATTTAAACCAGTTGTGTAGAGGTTAATTTGAAAAACTTGAACTGTACAGTTTTGAAAAGGCCTACAGTTATGTCACTTTCTTTTTTTTTAATTTTGTAGAGGTTTTTGCTATAGTGTGCGTGCACTCATCAGAAAGACAGAGAGAGAGAGACAGAGAGACAGAAAGTGAGAAATCACCCCCCCAGGGAGGATGGCCACACCACAATCCTCCCTTCTCCTCTATTCTCCTTTCGGGATCTTGGGCACACACGCACATGTGCCCGGCGTGAGTTTAAGCTGCCAGGTCCAGGACTTGAACCACAGTCAACTACATGGGAGTCCAGTGACACAGCCATTACACTAACTGCTGGTCCCAATCACTTTCTAAGGCTAGGAGTGCCCCAAGACATAGGTCAGCAAGTTTTGCAAAGTAGAAATCTTCTGGAATTCAACTTCAATGAACCGATGAGATTTATTTGTGACTGTCACCTTCTGTTTGTGTGCTGAGCACTGATGAGGTACTAGAGGAAAAAGTTGTTCTCAGGTGAAATTCTTTTGTTACCTTGTTTATAATATGAAGCATCTTCAAAAAGTTTATGGAAAATGTATATTATGCAAAACAACTTTGCATGGATTTCAGAAAAGTTTTACACCAAAATAAACTCATACTTTAATTCCATTTTTCCATGAACTTTTTGAGGTACCCTCATATTTGTATAATTAGATATGCTTTTCTTCCAGGTATGAAAGACTTTTTAAAAAAGAATTAGTTTATTTAACTTAATTTATTTAGAGACAGAGAGAGAGAGAGGAAAAGAGAGAGAGAGAGAGAGAGAGAGAGAGAGAGAGAAAGCAAGCCGCCAGGTCCATAACTTCAACCGCAGTCGGCCATATAGGAGTCCAGCGCCCTTAACCACTGCGCCACCTGCTGGCCCTAAAACATGTTAAATCTGAGCCAGTTTAGGTTTTGTGAATCTATTGGGTAGTCAGAAAAGTCAGGACATATTTTTCAGATTTTCTATACAAAAATGTATTCATGACTTTTCCAACTACACAGTAAATTAAAAACCAAGGGACTTAGGCATTTCTTTCCTTAACGATCTGTTGTCTATATCTTTCTCTTTCTTTTTGGTTATTGTTGAACTCATGGTACCCAGGAAAAAGCTTTACCCCTGGGTTTGTTGAATAAGTGATATGCTGTTTCTATGTCAGTAATAACAAGATTTCTGTTTCATCTCTATATTAAAGGAAGCTGACCCTGAGAATGAAAACCAGTCAAAAAAGATTTCAACTTCTGATGTTTCTAAACAGGAGCAGGTGGCACAGGTGAAGCTACCTAAGTCAACCAAATCAGGTAAAAAAGCACACACACTAATAACCCCTAAAACAGCCCTGGCAGAATGTTGTGAAACTTATGCAATTTCAAACTCAGATAATCCATTGACTTCTACCCACAAAATCAGCTTCGTGATTTTCCCATGGCTCTTGCATTAGTTACAGACGTTATTTTAGGAAAGCCCAATTATTATGACTAATATATTCAAAAAGTTCACGGAAGATATCTATTATGAAAAAAATATGCATGCATTTCAATGTTTTTGCACCAAAATGAACTTGTAATTTCATTTTATTTTCCATGAACTTTTCAAAGTCTCCCTTATACATATCTTTCACCCACTAAATCAGCTTCATGATTTTCTCATGGCTCTTCTATTAGATAGCTTATTTTAGGAAATCCAATTATGATGACTAATGTAAGTCCATTGTGTAACTTTCGTGGGGTCTTCCAACCTTTTACTCCATGAGGAAGTTGTCTGGGCACAGAACTGTGGTCACTCACTAAAACATTCTTATGTCTAGGTATGCAAGAGGAAAGACCAGGTCACTTCCTAGTTCATGGAGCGTAGTTTTCTCTCACCTTCTACATCCCCATTGAAACCGTTGAAAATAATCCACTGTAAAGATCCCATGATACTGAATTGTTTTTAACTATTTAAAAGACTCGTTTCATCCCCTCTATATTCTGAGCAGGGATGTCAAGGTGGGGAAATATAGAGAGCTGAAAAGACAATGTGCTGGTATGTAAGAGTT